TTTTTTTTATGCCGACTCATCGTAAGCCTCTCCCCCTGACAAGGACTGGCCCCCCCCCCCCCCCCCGCCTATGGAACACACTCCTCAGCAAAATTAGGATGACCCCTTCACTTCTCTCCTTTAGGAAAAAGGTCACATCATGGCTCTGGGACCAAGCATTTGGCACCTAGCCTAGCATCAACGGCAATAAATGTATGAGAACTAACCAAGAATAGACTTTGGACTGGAACTTTGGATGTTGATTTGTGATTTGGACCTGGCTTTGTTTTAATTTTAATGTATATTTTAAACTTGTGTTTACATATTTGTAAATGTGTTGTAATATGATTAATGTTGTTGTCGGCATCTAATGACTGCCATTGTAAGCCACCCTGAGTCCCCCCTCGGGGGTTGAGAAGGACGGGCTAGAAATGTTTGAAATAAATAAATAAATAAATAATCCTTCATTCTCAGCAAAATATTTCTGGTGATACTGCAAAATCTGTATATGTGCCTCTTCAAAATCCACAGCACTGTTGGTAACAGCTGACTTCCAGTTAGAAGGCTCAAGTGTCTGGGGTTCCCAGTTCTTGGTGTTTATTCCACATTTTTAAAGGATAGCTTTAAGCTCATTTCGTTTTCCATTCTTGAACGGAGAATAAAGTGCTTCCATTTATTTCCAAGTTTGAGGAATCAGAATTAACATTCATTGGTGCATATTTATTATCCAATGCCTTACCCTTCATGCTCAGCAAAACAATTCTGGTGACCTGCAAAATCTATCTTTCAAATGTGCTGAATTACCATATGCATTTTTCTTACACCCACTAGATCTCTCTGATCTCGATTAAACTTCTCTCTTTAATCTCAAGCAGTTTTGAGATCTTCTCCATTTCCGAAGCAAAGCTTTTAGAGGCATTTGGGCAAGACCGCTTATTCAGATGCTTGGATTGTGGGTTTGCTGACTGGAAGAGATCTTGATCTTTGTGTGCTTTCAAGTGGATTCCTCAGGCTGTTCTGTGTGCAAAATGTAAACAAAACATAAATTAATTTCTTGTGCATACTCGAGATATTACAAGATATTTCATTATGTACATGCAAATATATCCAAAGCCAAATCACACCTGTTCCCAAGAATTCCAGATAAGGGATGCTCAGCCTCTCAGGGCATTTTGAGGGATGTGCATGCTCAGTGGGGGAAACCACATGTTGCTGTGTGCATTTAAAAGGTCGGCTGAATGTGGGAAATGTCAGGCAGAACTTCAAGAGGAGCTGTGATGGCAACTGGGCTGCGGTATCCCAACAAGGTGGTGATAGTAACCGGTGGCACCAGTGGCATCGGTGAAGCCATTGTCAGAGAATTTGGTGAGTTGAGAGACAGAAAGAGAGAGAAAACTGGGGTAGGAATTAAAATGATATATTAGAAGTAGGAGTTATTTTAAAATGACCAAGCTTCAAGGTTATAGGGTGCAGCTACACTGCAGAATTAATGCAGTTTGTAACTATGGAACCATGGGAATTGCAGTTTGCTAAGAAACCAGCTTTCTTTGGCAGACAAAACTAAAACCCTTGTGAAACCAGATCTTCCAGAATTCCACAGCTATGAGCCACAGGAGTTAAAGTGTTTTGTATACTGCATTTAATTGTATAATAGTTGCACTTTCTATCCCCCTTTTTCAGTGAAAAAAAATGGGGGTACGACTATCATGCATTGGGGACTATTATGCAATGAAATACGGTATTAGTAGACAACCTGTAGTTACCACTTGGCAAGTAAGAAGTCACACACACACAATAATTTTGATTGAAATACAATTTCTTTATTTCTCTTTATCAAGTCAGAAGCGAGTTGAGGGTTCAGTTAAAATGCATTTAAAAACACATTTATTTATTTTTACAAAGAACTTGGTATCATGCTAAATGCCCTTTGACCAGCCACTTGGAGTGCTTCTCGTTTTGTTGTGAGAAGGTCCTCCATTTTGCATGTGGCAGGGCTCAGGTGTTCCTTTGAGTATCTCTGTTGATCTTAGGAAGCTGTTTCTTGATTTAAGATTTGGCATTCTGGCTTGCATCTGAAAAGAGGATGGGCCGAAGATGTCACTGCCTTGGTCCTTTCACTGCTGGGTGCAATACCAGCTAAACAGTGTAATTTCTCAGTGATGTGGGGAGTAGACATCCTGTGATAATGCGGCATGTCTCATTAAGAGACACATTCACTGTTTTAAGGTGGTGAGATGTTTTCCACCCTGGGCATGCGTATTCAGCATCAGAGTAGCAAAGTGCAATGGCAGATGTCTTCACTCTGTCTGGTTGTGACCACCAGGTTGTGCCAGTCAGCTTTTGTACGATATTATTTCTAGCACTCACTTTTTGCTTGATATTCTTATAAATCAGGGCATGGTCCAGAGTGACTCCCAGGTCTGCTTGTCTGTTCTTAAGATGAAAAGCACACATCTGTGTTTTAGATGGATTAGGAATTAGCTGGTTTTCCCTGTAATAGCCAGTAAGAGCACCTAATTCAAGCTGTAAATCATAATAATTTACAGTTAACAACAACAACAACAATTTGTTATTTGCCTCTTCTCTTGGTTGGGTGCAGGGTACAGCACAGTTGAAACACTTCATCATAAAATATATAGAAGGAAATACATATATCAAAACACACCAGTATAAAATATACACACCAAAACCCATGGTGCATACACTGGATTTGGGACCCAAGTCTAAACTCAAATTTAATTTGTTTCATATACACCTTATATACACATAGCCTGGATGTCATTTTATATGATATTTTAAATAATTTTGTTCATGAAATGTGTACACTGAAACATGAGAAAGCAAAGATGTCAACGTCACAGCCATTTATGTGGACAGTTTTGAATTTTGGAGAATTTCAGATTTTTTGATATGGGATACTCCACCTGCAATGGAATATTTCGTATATTTTTTTCCCATTTTTAATCAATTAATGTGCATGTAAAAAAAATAGATTTGTTAGATTTTGTCTGGCATGCATTTACCCTGCTTCTTTTCCTTCCTAGTCCACCAAGGAGCCAAAGTTGTGTTCTGTGCCCGAGAAAGTGAAGGTGAGAATTATTTTTTCATACCTAAACATTATGAGAGTGTCAATTGTTTCTATATTAGCATGTTTAAACTACAGGGATGTGAGCATGGAGTTGTAACTATCCCTTCTCTGATCATTGGTCATGAATGGGAAGACTGATAGGACCTGGAGTCCAAGAATACCAAGTCACCAAGCATCATGTAAACAAATGAAAGAATTGGTGCTTTTTTCCTTACATATCTGCTAAAGAGAAATGCAAGAATGAGAAAGCTGTCCTTTGTATCTGCTTGGCTTTGGTTTAAGAACCCTCAATGGAAGCCAAAATCTGTGGATGCTCATTATATACTATGACATATAAAATAGTGTCCCTTATATAAAATGGGTCCTCCAGCACAACTTTATAGTGGAAATTAACCATAGTGTTTCACTGGAGAACCTAGATACTTCTAGAGAGGTGTTTGTCACACAAAAGCGCTGGAAAGGCACCTTTAAACCAATCTCACACTCCAGAGTTCGGTTATAACAAAAGCAGTTTATTAAAATATAAATGTAGCTTCAGCAAAAAATGGTAGAAAGATAAAATGTCAATGCAAAATATAATCCATGTAAAACAAGGCACTTGGAAAGACTTGGAAACAATAATCCATGAGACCAGAATGCAAGGAAGATCTTTAAACTGGGATCTTGACCGAACACAGCACTCCAGAAGATCAAAAATACATGGTAGCAATAACAAAGATTCAAAAATACATGAGTCCATGAAACCACTTGATTCTTGAAGCAATACAGGAAACCAGGAAAACACTTTATACTTAGAACAAGAGTGCATGAATCCCATACCATGAGAGAAACGAAAGAGAGAAGAACGTAGAACATGTTACTTCTACCCAGATGTTGATTTCTCTAATGGATTTCTCTTAGAGTTGATTTCTCTAAGTCAAATCTGCTTTATACCTAAAAAACGATGTCTCTTCCCTTCAGAACTCTCAAGAGGGCTTTTTCTCATTAAGAGGCACTGTGACCAGCGCCTCCCTTCAACTGCCTGTCTTTGCTCTTCTCCTATCTAACTCATGGGAGTCAGAAGAATCTACATCTCCAATAACCACATTCCAATCAGAGTCTGACCTTGGTTCTCTTGAGAAAGCTAACTCCGGCCTGTCAGCCTCTGAGTCTGTCTCCAACTGGAAATCTACTGCTGGCCTAACATTCCCAGAATCCCCAGCCCCATCAGGTACAGAATCAGGCTCCTGTGAATCCCCAATCCCATCAGGTACAGAACTAGACTCCTGGGAGCCTACAGTGGCTTGCTCAATGTCCTCTGAAACCTCAGGCTGAACCACAACAGTATTCTCACTTTATTAAAACACTGTTTTTTATTCAGCTTCCCACTTTGGCAGGGGTCCAGAGCCCCTAACTCCAGCAAATGTAGAAGGTCTCTGTAATTTGAGAATCAGGGGTTCTCAAATTGTGCTCCATGTAGCCCTTGAGGTTCCGCGAATCATAGTGGAGGACTCTGTGGCACCATACCGCTTCAAATCTCCTCTTTCCCCCTCCTCCAAAACAGAAGCAGCATTCTCTTGGGGCAAAGACCCCCTCACCTTACCCTCGCTGTCCAGACTATTTTTCTCACCATCCAGATATTCCCCCTCTTCCCGCCTTCTTTCCTTCCAAAACCTAATTTCCCTTCCACTGCTCAGGGGATGCTTTAATTGTACTTTTCCTGCATGGCAGAAGGGAATTGAGCTAGATAGACCCTGGGGTTTCTATTACTAATACTACTTCTACTAGTAGTAGTATATAATATATAATATAATATATGTATAATAGAAGATGTAAACATTTCTTGGGGCTCCATGGCTGAAAATGATTAAGAAGCCTTGCTTTAAAGGCCTTTTATTCCTCCTTTGTTCTAATCCAAACCAGTGCTAAAACTCAACACTAGTGGAACTGCTTTCCTGTATTTTTCTGCCCTATAGAGTCTTTTGTTTTGCAGTTGGGAAGGATCTGACAGAAAGTGCCAGTTTGTTTACAGTATAGTACTAGAACTCTCTAGTACAGAATTCTACGTACAATATTTCACCAACTTACAAGTCCCAACATTCCATAGTATAGAGCTATGGTAGTTAAAGTAGTACAAAACTGCCATGACTGTGCAGTGTGGACAAATCTTAGGAGAGAAGTAGGAAGCATGTAGTTCTCTAGTTGTTTTTGAACCGAAACTCCTGACCAGTGGTTATACTGGCTAGGGATGCTGGATTTGCAATCAAAGAACAACTGTGATTTCTGCTTCACCCTTGCCTGGCGTGATTCCTGAAAAGTCATCGTAACAATAGGAATGTGGGACACTGGATTAATCTTAGCATGAAGAGTAGATATCAATGACTGTTGAATCTATGACCAGCTGAATCTCTGTGCTTCAAAGCCTCATTGGACACCAAGTATGGGCTCAGATAGAGACTTGCATCCTGTTGGTAAGTCTCAACTAAAGGAGACCCATTGGCTCATGGTTGAATAGTAAGTCAACCCAGAAATAAAGCCCAAGGAGGCAGTATTATCTTACTCTTTCATCAACTGGAGCTGGAACTACTCTCCAAACTCTTCATGAACTTTGTTTGCGACTGTCTTTGCAGAAGAACAGGGGAAGAAAATTGTGCAGGAACTGGAGTTTTGTGGGGGCCCTGGGGAAGTTTACTTCCAGATCTGCGATGTTCGCTGTGAAAAAGCTATTCAGGTAGGCCTATGGGGAAAGACGTTGGTTTGGGGGAACCTCTTTGTTGCTATGTACCTTTATGTTACCTCTGACTTATGACAATCCCAAAGTGATGCTATCATAGGGCTTTCTGGGGCTGAGAATGTGTGACTCACCCAATGGGTTTCCATGACCAAGGGGGAATTGAACCCTGGTCTCCAGAGTCATTATCCAGTGCTACTACACTATGCTTCTTTAATGGCTTCAAAACCAGTTTTCCTTTGCCACAAATACATTCTTAAAGTCCGGACTTGAACATGTAGTTCTTTACATAACATACCAAGATCCTCCAATGATTGTGGATGGATTTTGGAAGATGAAGTCTAAAATTGTGGGAATGACGACTATCCCAGTTTAGTTGTAGCGCCTTCCCCATTACACCTCTTCCCTGATTATACCTATCTTGGTTGGGGATGGTGGGAGTTGTAATTAGCATATGTGTTTCATCTTTTACTAACCACCTCCCATACTCCATTTCTTCCCTTTTGCTAACCATGTCCCTTTCCATAGAATTTGGTTGCTGGGACCATTGAACTTTATGGAAAACTTGACTGCCTGGTAAACAATGCTGGAATTGGTAAGTCAATCCCGAAAACCTGCCCAGGAAACAGGCATGTAGCCGGGGGGGGGGGGGGGGGGGCTTGAGGGGCTTCAGCCCCCCCCCCCGAAATTCTCAGGGTGGTCAACGAGAAGGCCTTACTGGTACATTATTTAAACTGTTATGTTTATTCATATCATGATCTGATCACCATGCTCAATATATCCCATATGCATGGGGGTATGGTGGGATAATGATACGAAAGGTTTGCCCTGAGCGCCCCCCCCCAAATCAAACTCAGCCCCCCCAAAATCAAACTCGAGCCCCCACCCGAATCAAAAATGGTATCACGGGGGCCCTTGCTTGGGGGAAATATTCTGGGTTCCTTTGGTTTTTTTTGTTGGGCCTGGGGGCTTTTCAGTATTGTGCGTACAAGGGGGAGCGGGAACAAGGTTCTAGTGGTCATCATAGGGATTGGGGAAATTGCGCGACTTTGCGGTCTGATGTTCACCGGCATACATAGCCATCATTTATATTTATTAGACAATTTGTTAACATTTTCCTGTATAGCATCAGCTATAGGGGTGAGTAAAATTATTTGCACTCTGACTGTCAAATTTATTTCAATCATCTTTCAGAAAAGACAAATACAACACAATCACCCTGCTTTTTTCCATACCACCCTGCTTGTCTTCTTTGGTGTTTTATGGTGTACATGAAGCTCTCATGTAGTGCCACATTTCAAATAATATGATCTCCTGCCTATCAATTTGTTGTGTAGTTTTCCCAATCATACACATCTATCTATGCAATAGATAATTCTGACTTTGGTATTTGATTATGTATCTTAACATTTGTGGAATCTTAACAAATAAATGACAGGAATAAGGGAATTATTCTGACTCTTCAGTGAAATTATCTTCTTTTTTATATCTACCTTCCCACAGCTTCCAAACTCAAACCAATCGATAATATCACTATGGAAGAATTCCACAATGTCATGGACACCAATGCTGTCGGCTCCTTCTTAACATCTAAGGTGAGTATCCATTTATGTAGGATAAGCAAGACTCTATTATATTGCCAGAATGAATAAATCATATCCACTACCACTGGTTAACCACCCATATAGATTGTTGTTTGCCCTGAGACAATTCTTTAGCCGACCATTTGTAGAATCCCTATACAACCATTGCCACATGACTTGTAGTCCAGCAAACCACTTACTAGCTTTTTCCAGAGATGTAAGGCAAGGGATAGGATGGGAAATTAAATGTTCAGCCTGGAGTTTGGAGGTGGCAATATTTTTACCAGTAACTACCAATTCTCTGTTTAATAAGGAGAATTATGTGGCATTCCATAAAGTGCCATTTTAACCCCCCAATGCTTTTTAACATTTGAAGTCACTTGGAGAGATCATCTGGAGGCGTAAGGCTGGGTGCTATCAGAATGTCTCAGACACCCAAATGTATTTTCTTATGCTTTCAAAACAGCCTTAACTAAGGACATTGTGCCTTTTTGAATAAATACCTCGAGAATCTAATGGGCTGGATGAATGAAAACAATTTGAAGCTGAATTCAGACAAGACACATGCTTATAATTAATGGTCCTAAACTGGGATTGGAGGTATGACAGCCAGTTCTGGAGAGGATTACACTCACCCTGAAAGATTTTCATCTCAGTTTAGGAATGCTTCTGGATCTGTCTTTCAAAATGTTTGTCTAGGTCAGTGGTTCCCAACCTGTGGTCCACAAAAACGAAAATATGGTCCGTGACCTCACCATTACTACACCGTTGCCTTGAAACCACACGGCTACAGGAGTGACTGGTCTCTTAAAACCTCTCATAGAGTCGAGGCAATGGGGATGTTGGGAGGGGAGAGGCTGACTACCCACAAAAGATTACTGCTACCACAGCAGCTCTAGATTATTAAATATGGTTTTCTGTGGGTGAACAGATGGTGACTACTGGATGGCATATGTTCTGTATCAGAAACTAGAGTTGATGTGGTCTATCCAATGCAATTTTCTCAATTAGCACCCCAAATAACCAAACCAAAACTAAAGTTGACCAAAAACTGATTTGTAAGCCTTTTGGTACTAATGTTGGAGAATGGTCCCTGGTCAAAGTGGCCCTTGGTCAAGTGGTCCCTGATCAAGTGGTCGCTGGTCAAAAAAGGTTGGGAACCCCTGATCTAGACATCTAAAAAAGTGCAGCTAAACATCCCTGCACTTTTTAAAGCTGTTGCATCCCATTGTTGGCTCATGTTCAACTTGTTGTCAATTAAGATTCCAAGATCTCTTTCGTATGTACTGTTGACATTTCACTGTTGTCGAAATAGGTGTCATCCATCCTATATCTGTGTCTTCTTTTTCTGCCTTACTATCTAACATTTCTCCTTGTTGAAATTCATTTTGTTAGTTTTAGGTCAATCCTAATCTGTTAAAGTCATTTTGGATTCTGATCCTGTCTTCTGGAGTATTAGCTATCCACTCATTTGGTGTCATCTGCATGCCCTCTAAACCTTCATTCAAGTCATTAAATAGAGATGTTGAACAGCACTAGGCTTAGGACAAAACCCCACTGCAGCATCCCACTAGTCACTTCTTTCCAGGATGAAGAGGAACCATTGGTGAGCACCCTTTGGGTTTGGTTGCTTAACCAATTACAAATCCACCTAACAGTAATATTGTCTATACCAGCTGTTCTCAAAGTGTGCTCTGTGGAGCCCTTGGGGTTCCACTAAACATACTGAGTGGCTCCACAGAAAATGACGATGAAGATGATGATGATGATGATGATGATAATCTTTACTTATTATCCTTCTCCCCTCCAAGCCCTCCCTCTTTTCTTTTCCTCCTCCTCCTCTCCCCATCTTCCTTGCTCCCAGAAGCCTTTTTTCCCCTCACATCCCTCACTCTCAAAAGCCTTTTCCCTTAATGTCCTTGCTTCCAAAACCAAACTCTATTTCTCTCCCACTGATCAAGTGGTGCTTTGATTGAGATTTTCCTGCATGGCTCCATATTGCTTAAGT